ATAATAACATTCAAATAGTAACTTGAAACTAGAAATGCCTTTATTCGTGCAAGTCAATTTAACAATTACTCTCTCCTTTACACTTGGCTTATCCTCACTAAACTGACCATTGATATTCGTCCTTTCAAACGAACTGATACTACCATAGTCATTGCACAAGATACTTGAGTTGATGGGCGTCCTTCTCATTGTGGATGACAACACCAACGACGACTGATTGATATCAGTTGATGAAGTTAGCGGTGGATCAGAAGCTGTTCTTTTCGGCTTTCAGATAGTTGTCCAACTGCAAGATTACCACCACTGCTGTCTTTCACTACTAGTTCGGGTTTAGCACTATCATCTGATGATAGGTGGGCTACACGCTGATCAATTACACTGACTGTCTCACAAGTATGCACACCTTCTGGAACTGCATCTGCGTTCAATTCTACTTCACGTTGTAGTTGTACAGAACCTTTATTTAACTTAGCAGTAGTAGGCATATCCCTCATCTCATCATGATCAACCAAAGACAAATCTGCACTATCATGATCATTATCACGAATATTCACTTTACCGTCAACTTCATCATTTTCAAACTCTTTAATAACAGAAGTAGACAATTTTGGTTCCTCCTCACAATCATTAAAGGTTTTATATCTTCACTCTGACTAGTTATACTTTGTAAACTTGTGGAGTCAAAACTCCACTCTGAAGCAGTAACTCTATTCTGTGACACTCTATTCAACAATGGCTTACCAGTTGCAACTACAGACTTCTTCACAACACCGTTTTCGTCACACAATTCGGAGTCAGACCTGGAGTTTACATTTAGCTTATCACTGAACTTGCTCACTGGTTCACAGTTCACTTCTGTATGCACCTCTTGCACACGTGTCAAGCACAACCGTGTTTGTCTTGCATCTTGTAACTCATCTGTTGAGGATGTACTACGAAACCTGTTACACTCACTAGGTCTATATGCATTACTAGACATCATGGAGCCTTCTCGATATCCACCTCTCTGAGGCCCTTTCGTCATCAATGATTGCATTTTACCCTCAGACTGCTCTATCCTAGGGGTGAGATGTAATAGACTGGCGAACTTGCTCATAGATTGATTGACACTAGTATTTACCAGTTTCAGGATATCATCAAATTTTGGCTCGATACCCTCATCCTCCATACGGGAGCTCATCTTCACCCACTTCCTTTGCAGTCGAGTAGGTAGACGTCTTGCTATTACTTCTAGTATAAAACTCGAGTTGAGGTCACTCATTCGATTCATCGAAATCATTCCATTCTTGTAAATTAGCAAATTATCTAAAAACTCAGTGAGTGCCTGGGAGTCATCCTGTAATTGACCACCATTACCCTTAACAGCCTCGAATAATTTCCCTGCAATCATCGAAGGTCTTCCAAACCTTTGACGTAATATGCTCATAGCCTCGTAGTAGCCCTCTTTTGGCTTCATAAACTTACAGCACTGTATAGCTCTTGCAGCATCTCCAGTGCAATATCTCATCAAATACATTAACTTCATTTCATCATTTAATAAAATACCACTCAACATGATCTCAAACTCCTTTACAAATTGTAAATAATCAGCCGGGTTTCCATCAAAACATCGTGGTTCAAATTTAGGGAGTTTGATGTTCCTATTATCCTGAACGGCGAAACAGTAACATCAACCATGTCATACTTAACATCAGACACATCG